GTCTGCTTCTTCGTAGGGATTTAAAGCAAACCTGTCGCTTCTGAGGCGGCCCGGGGAGAAGACGTATACTCAGCGTTGCCGGTTGTTTGTTGGGAACTTGCCTGCTGATATAACAGACGAAGACTTTAAAAGACTGTTCGCCAAGTATGGGGAGCCGGGAGAGGTTTTTATCAACAAGGGGAAAGGCTTCGGATTCATTAAATTGGTAGGCTTTCGTACTCTGCGTCTGTCCGTTTTAATTCTCACGAGATCGTAGCTTACAACGTGGTTTTCTAAAACTGGATCTTAAACTCTCCTCAGGAATCTAGAGCTCTTGCAGAAATTGCGAAGGCAGAACTGGATGATACCCCCATGCGGGGCCGCCAGCTTCGTGTTCGGTTTGCCACACATGCTGCTGCTCTTTCAGTGCGCAATCTTTCACCCTATGTGTCCAACGAGTTGCTGGAGGAAGCTTTTTCCCAGGTTGGGGCTGTGGAGAGAGCGGGTGTTTTTAGATGATCGAGGTAGATCAACAGGAAAAGGCATTGTTGAATTTGCGTCAAAGCCAGCTGCCAGAAAAGCCTTTGAACGGTGTACTGAAGGAGTGTTTTTGTTGACAACGTAAGTATTTTGCAGCTTTGGATTTTTTGTTTTAGGCTAAATAAACCTGTTGGCGTCTGGTTTCTCAGGCTGGAGGTTCTTACGGAAAAGTAAAAAGAGTATTTTTTGTTTGTTTGTTTAGCACTCCTAGGCCAGTTATTGTGGAACCGTTGGAACAACTGGATGATGAAGACGGTCTTCCAGAAAAGCTTGCTCAGAAGAATCCAATGTATCAAAAGTAGGCACCACCTTTTGGTATACAGGGTATCTAGATACTCCACTGTTGTCCCAGGCTGAAGGGGATGGAGCAGTTTTTCAGAAACAGGCTTTGAACTTTAAGTAGTACTTTCAGTTCTGGTTTTGGGGGTAGTAGTTTGTTTTTTAGATCAGACAACATACCGATTTGTTCGGTGTATTCACTAAGCATTACATAAGCAGTTTTCTGCATGGTATCGCAAATAAACAATGGACCCTAAATAGCAGTCAGATAACAGATGCTTTTGGTGTATGTCAAAACTCTTGAAAATCAGAATTCAACTGTTTGATTACCCTGTTGCTGAGAACAGTCACCTTGCTGAAGGCCTATCTCGTGTTGATTGATCCCACAGGGAATTTATGAACTTTTTATGGTATGAAAGGAGGAATTATGTCAAATTTTACCTTAGCCCATGACTGAAAAAACCCAGTTGCCTGTGGGTTTGCCTCATGAAGCTGGCCACTGGGCATAGAGTAGATAGGAGTCTTCTCCTAAGTAGCAGTTTTAGGGGAGGATTTGTATATTAAACCTGTTTCTTGTAGAAACACTGTTTTCCCAGATGACAAAAGGGAGTGCCAGGGCAGATCCAGTCTTGTTTGAATGGGAAAGTGTTCAGCATGACTTGCTGTGATCAAGAACTGTAAGCAGTTTAGAGGCAGTGTCTGTGAAAGCAGTGGAGATTAGTACAGTTTCCCTAAAACGTTGGAATACTTGGCTGATGTAAAGCTTTTGAACTTTCCTAGTTGTGTTCCATATTACTGGGTCTCAGGCTCCGGTGTCTAGAATAACACTAGAATAAGCTGTTGGCATGTAAAGCTTTTGAACTTTCCTAGTTGTGTTCCATATTACTGGGTCTCAGGCTCCGGTGTCTTTGTACACTAGAATAAGCTGTTGGCCCTCAGGCGTTTGGAACACTGTTTAAGTTAGTGAAGATTATTACTCGCCTTTGACACACAGTGTTTGGGCTACGTTGGCACGGAAAAAAAAGCCTGTTTCCATATGCTGTTTCGAGCAGCTGAACCTACTCGGGCAGAAGCCCATCTTGCTTAAGGATTTTACACCTGACAGTTGGCAGCAGTGGGGTGTCTAAGGAAGAAGTTGAGGACAAGATAAACATGGAGTAGACCTGTACGTGGGAAGATGTCTTGGATGTGATAGTGCAGGAGTCTCCATATTTGCTATGGTAGTCGTAGATTTGATAGTAAATGCTGCTCTTAGGGTCTGTAAAATGCTGTACTGATAGCAGCATTCTGGCACAGCAAGTGTGGCATCCCATAGTTGTGAGGTCTTTTCAGGGCTCCTTTGATGTTCCCTGATAATTCTGCTTGTGATCTTACACTGACCTTTAGTTTCCAGACTTAACCTGAATGAGCATCTGGAAAGAGAGACTCCTCCCCGTTTTGCTCAGCCTGGCAGTTTTGAATTTGAGTATTCGCAGAGGTGGAAATCTTTAGATGAAATGGAAAAACAGCAGAGAGACCAAGTGGCAAAAAACATGAAGGATGCCAAGGACAAACTTGAAAGTGAGATGGAAGATGCTTATCACGAGCATCAGGCAAACCTCTTGCGTCAAGGTAACGGGCTCTGCAGCCTGCATCACCTTTCTGCTATGAACACTAAATGCGTGGCTGTTTAATGGTTTCATGAACAAATTCTTGCTTCCTATTGCGAACTTGGGAATGTCGGGTTTAAAATAACTGGTGGATTTTCAGTTTCTGTTGAGTGTCGTTAAGGCTGGTGACGTTCAGAAGGTGCCAGCGTGTAGATGAGGTCGGTGTGATTCAGATCTGAGTTTAAACCTGACATGAGTGTTTGACAACAGCTGCTGACAAGCTTCATTTCTGCAGACCTTATGAGGCGTCAGGAAGAGCTGAGGCGTATGGAAGAACTCCATAATCAAGAAATGCAGAAACGCAAGGAAATTCAGCTGAGGTTGGTTTGGCTTCTGTGGGATTTTTTTTCAGCATGACACTTGTTTCCTTTTAAAGTGACTGATAGATGAAAGCTCTTACTGTTCAACAAACACCGTTGCTGCTTCGGTTGTGTGTGGGGAAACTAGAGTGTGAGTGTCTTTGAAGCTGGTCGTGTGAGTGGTGATGTTCGTGAGACGGGTTTACCATGTTACACTGCTGAGGTTTAACAGTCTGCTTTGGGAATATCAGGCAGGAGGAGGAGCGGCGCAGGCGGGAAGAGGAAATGATGATACGTCAGCGGGAGATGGAAGAACAAATGAGAAGACAGAGGGAAGAGAATTACAGTAGAATGGGTTACATGGATCCAGTAAGTGAAATCGTGATGTTCTGTGGATAAATTCCCGTCTTCAGGGATTTCCAGGTTTTGTTGGGATGCGTTTTCAAGGCTGATGCGTTTTGCTTCCTTCAGGTTAGATAATGCGGTGTCTGTGTGTAGGTGTAATGGCTGTGCATGTTTATCTCCTGAAAGGTAGGGATAGGTGTAATGGCTGTGCATGTTTATTTCCTGAAAGGTAGGGATCTGGGGAGTTGGGTTTCTGTGCTGAAAGTTGTTTCTTTTACGCAGAGGGAGAGAGACATGAGAATGGGTGGTGCCACCACAATGAACATGGGAGGTAAAGAATTTTTAAATAATTACTTCATGTGGTTGACTTAGAAGTTGTCAGAATATGATTATATATTTCTTTTTCTTAGATCCTTATGCTTCTGCAGCCCAGAAATTTCCACCTCTCGGAGGTGGTGGCGGCATAGGTTATGAAGCTAATCCAGGAGTTGGCCAAGCAGCCATGAGTGGTTCTATGATGGGAAGTGACATGGTAATGTATCCTGTGGTGGCTTTAGTTTAGCACAAGGGAAATGCTGCAGTTGGGAAATTCTGTACCAGTGTTCGGATGGTTGTGTACATGGCACTGTTAACTGCTGACTTCTGGCAGGTGTGGAACGTGAAGATTAGTGTGGCAGTGTGTAGTACTAGATTAGTCCTTAACCATTCTGGTAGCATAATCAGTCAAAAGTTGATTGTAAGTGAATTCGGATGTGCTCTTAAGCATATTTGCAATTAACTCTGACTTCATTGGACTTTAGAAATTCTGCGTCACTGTTAGGCTTGGAAGGACTTTTATCAATTCTAGAGAACCTGACAAATTTCTTAATGAAAATACATAATGTAGTAGCTTTTCAGTAATTTGACATTCTGCATTTATGGACAGGCTTTTTTTGTTCTCCTTCCCAGTGTGTAATACTGCATTTATTTTGTCCCTTCCAAGCCTAGTTAGGATTGATGCATGTTGGTTATGGGTATGCTGTTAATGCAGAAATCTGCGCTCACGTCTATTTAAGCAGCAGATTACTGAAGTAATGAGTGGTCAACAGCATATCACTTACACTGTATGCTGATGTTTGCCGTAGAAGAGCAGAAATGCTATTTTTCAGCTTTAGGCACGTTCCAGCGATCCTTGACTGTAGCCATTTTGTGTTTCCTGTCTGACAAAAGAATGATAGCCCGTTCTTGTTCTCACGTGTTGGGCATGACCGCGTAGGGAGTTTGTTAAAGTTACGGCATATCTCGTGTTCTGAGGTATGTTTCCAAGCTGTATTATTTTTGGCACACTACATGTGTGAACAGGCTTTGAGCCGGCTTGGTGTTACCACACTGAAGCAATACGGATGTAGATTAAAGAAATGCTGAACGGGTAGGATGGAAATCTGTTGGCTTAGGTGGCAATACAAGTGTGCTTTCACGCTCCTGAAAGGGTGTGTGCTCTGTAGCACAAGCTGTTGTAAATGATTTTTGGGTGGGTTTAGGCCTCTGGCTTAACGTGGTGAGCTACCATAGTAGCCTGTCAAGTACCTTCCGTTTTTTTGGGAACCTTATCTTTGGAATAACAACTTTGCAGAGCAACATCGATTCAGTAGACAGTGCCGTTGGCCTTAATGTCTCTATAATCTACTGATACTTAAGCAGTTCCTAAGTTTCCTGTGAACAGCTAGGCAGTCCGTGGTGAACGCTGTGTACGTTTTTCTCCTGAAATTCATGGTGCAGGTGCATGCTGAACTGGTGGTAATCCTTGAAAACGTGATACGGTCGAAAGGTGTGACAGCAAGATGGTTTAATGGCCTTGAGTTTCTTAGGATGGGGATCTCTGCCACACAGTGCTGTCACAGTTCCTGGGCTGATACCTTTTAAACAGAATTGGAGCTAAGCTTAAGCAGCCATGAATCAAGCAGAAAAAACCTAGGTAATCCTTCTGAAATTCCGTTCTTGGAAGGATTGAAACTGACTTTCAGAAGTCAAGAACGTGAAGTGTGAATTTTCAGTTGGAGACCCTTTTTGTAACAAGCAACCTACTGTGGTTCTGTTACTCAGTAGTGGAAAACTTGCTTGAAATGAAAGTTTAAAGCTGTCTTTGACCTTATGATTTGTCAGTTCTGTAGGTTGCTGATCACACCTCCTGATACAGTAACCGAGTGAAGTACATGTAACTAGAGGTACTAGTAAAAACACCTGAAGCCTCTGCTTTATTGCAGGGTAATTTAGCTGTTACATCCTGGTGTGAAACCTTTCCACGCTGTGAAGTTGTGAATTTTCCAAGAGCTTGTGGTGAGGGTTGGGTGGGAAGGGAGATATTGGCTGGATGCACACGACCCTTTGTGCAGAGTTCTAACTCGAAACGCTGAATAAATTGTAGTTCTTTGAAGAAGTTTGGCATATGATACAGCTGCAGTTCCGGAGTACGTGGGATTTTAACTAATGCAAGTCTTTTGATCGAGCAATTGCGTTGGTTAGGTAAATCACTGGTCGTTAGCTTTTTTTCACTTTTTTTTTTCTTCTTACAATCCAGTAGTGCTCACAGTCAGTTTTGGGTACTGCCTAAGGCCTCTGCAGTTTAGTCAGCAGACCGTAGTCTTAACCCCATCTCGAAAAGCACATGGTCTCTATTGCAGCACATGCCATTAACTGGTGAGTAGGCATTCTGTTTACGATGACATTTTTGTGAATGTCAGCTCAGAGTTGAGTGAACTGAAGATTCGTTCTCTGGCTAGGCTTGTTTGGAAATGACAGCGACGTCATCTAAGTTTTTACTGCACTAAAGGTGAGAAGTTTGCCAGCTGTTTGCATTAACTTGGTTGAAAATTGCTAGAGCTCATTTGGAAAAGTTGTTAATTCACATCTGCACTAATGCTTACATTTCTAGCACTGCAGGGAGGATCTGTTCTTTGTAACAGATGTATGAGAATGCATCAAGTGGGAACATACCTCAAGGCATGTATTACAATAAACTAATTTTTAAATTACCCTTTTTTCCTTTCTATGTTCCCGGTACCTGTGGATCGGCTCAATGGTGATTGTATCGACGAACCTTGACTGCGGAACCTTCTAAAAATATATACTTAACACACATGGACATCAACTACATATAATGAACTGTTAATTCTGTTCCAATAGCGTCCTGAACGCTTTGGGCAGGGAGGTGCGGGGCCCGTGGGTGGCCAGGGCCCTAGAGGAATGGGGCCTGGAACACCAACAGGATATGGTAGAGGGAGAGAAGAATATGAAGGCCCAAACAAAAAGCCCCGATTTTAGATGTGACCTGTAGTTTCATTCCAGTTTGTTTTTGTCTGTCTTGTTTAGACACCGACTTTTTAATTCTTGCATTTTAGTAAGAAAGCTACGTTTTTATGGATGTTAGAAACTTACTGACCTAATATTTGTAAGTGGTCTGTTTGGGCGAGTACAATTTAATTATGTAATGCAGTGTTTCAAAACAAATTTAGCTGTTTTTTTGATGTATAACGTCCCTAACTTGATGGCAGTGTACCGTGTGCCACTGAATTCCCAAAGTGTACCGACATTTTTTTTTACTGTGCTTCAAATAAATAGAAAACTAAATGTAGTAACTCTTCTTGCCATTCGTGGTTAAACATACGAGGCTTAAGTACCACACCTTCCGCAGTAAACAGTCTTTAGAGGTCAAACTCGACCGGGTGTGGAACTGCAGGGAAGAGGGAGATCTCTTCCCGTGATGCCTCCGGCTAAAGACTGGGGCAAACAGTAGCCTAACTTTGCAGTAGGTGCAGATTTTTTTTTTTTTTTTGAGCATTAATTGTGCTGCAATAAGGAAGCAAATGGAAATCTTGCAAGTGCTGTAAGATGCAGTAATTAAAGCTACACTGCAGGCAGTGCAGTGTGTAACGAATTTGGTGTTTTAGCTACGGATAATGGGTGGTGGGATGGTAGCACTTGCCACCTTGGCAGTTACTGCTTGGAATCTTTTAAAGACTTTAAGCAGAAGACTAGCAATGGTTATTCTAAAATAAATTCATAGAATTACATGTATTGGCTGACTTCCTAACTAAAGGATTGCTAATGCGATGTTTATATGCTCTTAAGCTGTCCGAGGTGACAGGATCCGGCCTTGCTTTGTATTGTGTACTTGCCTGAAATTGCTTGGCAAAAAGACCAGAAGTGTTACTCGAGTGGTTACGGTTAACTTGCTCATGTCCTCATGCTAATTGAGCGGACTAATTTGCATAGTTGGGAATACAATGATTTGTATTATGGGGACTGCAGGAACTATACTTAAATCGTGTAGCTGGTGGGCAAAGCCTAAAAGCCTGTATGTAAAATACAGAAATTAGCTTGCTTGCATGATCTTTATCGCTCTTTTATTATTGATGTTTGGAGACAATGCATCAAAATTAGTACCTGAATCTGGAGTTTAATACTACGCAGTACAAATAAACTCCCTTTAAGGTTCTCTTGTAGAAGATCTGATGAATTCGTTAGCTTGCTGTTCGTTTTATTAAGCCCCAGAAGAATTTCAGAGCATTCTGGACTCAAGGTAGTTGCTTTGCTTATTATTACATTGTACCAGCTAAGCTGGGAACGTGACTTCCCAGCGTAAAATGCCTTGGTGTTAATGCAGGATACATCAACCTGCTTGGCACAAAGTAGGTAAACTTAGTTTGGCTGTTACCTTCCCACGATTCCCCAACTGCCGAGCATTCTGTGAGCAGCTTTAATCTTCCAAAGATCTTTCCATTCCTTGTGCTAAGCATTGGCTAATTCTAAATTCTATACTAAATTTTCTCTGCGGTTAAAACTTCAGTGTCTGACTGCTGTATTTAGAGTGCAGATGATCCCTCTTGAAGTACTTAAAGTGCTCTTACTCCTTAAATGAAAAAAACAGCGTATTGTAAATGCTGATACCAGGTAACACTGACTTGGAATATTAAGTGCTTAAATAGCGACTCAGCTGGTTTGGTGAATGCTGCTTATTTTCCCAGAAAAGTTTGGGGGTTGATAACATGCTACAACAATTAATTGCTCTTCAGGAAATTCCGAATTGGCAGTTCCTAAACTGCGGACCAAGTATTTGGGAGTACTTGTATTGGATACTTAGTTTAAAAATCAGCAGTACCGATGCCATTTGCTTTATTGAAGTAGTATGAAATGATGTATGTGTTTTCTGGAGGGTGTTCCTGGGACACCCGCAAAAGGTGGAGGTGTCTTGAGATGGGGAATTCTGAACGTAAACATTAAATTAATTTTTTTCAGTTTATTTTTCAGATTACATGTCATTCTTTATTAAAGAGATGCTGGTGCATATCCTAAAGTATGTTCTTTTGTAGTTCTGTAACTTGGAAGAGTGAAGGATGCTGATGTCCTTGTACCTTACAGAGGTTGTCTTTTGGTACCCCTGTTTTGTACGTAAGCTACCGTTGCTAGGTATTAAACATAGCTGAGTTGCAAAACCATGAATAGTAAATATACTCAAAGATTGGGCGGTTAACCAAACTTTCCGATGTTTTGAAAAATCGAGCCTTGTAGCCGCATAAGCAGAATGTCTAAAACAAGTTCTGCTTAGAGTTGCTTGTATTAAACAGGCATTAAACTAACTAGCCAACTTCTTCTCAAGACCTTTTAAAGGTGGTGTCTTAAAAGCTGGCAAACATGTCAACTTTAAAATCTGATAAAGTTGCTAAATGTGGGAGGTGAGAAAGTTATGTTCCTTGGATCTGTTCCTACGAGGTTTTTGGACTTTTTTCCATACAATCAGTTTTATATAACTGAACCTTTAAAGCCATTTAGAAAAGCGCTTTGTTGGTCAGACCTGTTTTTGGATGGTCTGGATCACATGACACATTTTTGTACTGGACTTGGAGGACATTGGCTGTTGCAATTTAGCTTGCTTTATCAAAATTGAGCCCATTTTGCCACTTCGGTCTGTCAAAACCGCAGCATGTAGAACCTGGTCGTGCTATACCTACATCCTGACACTTTTGCAGAAGTGAATACAGAATAATCTTCGGGTGTAGCCACATGACACTAATCATTTATTCAGCTGATGAGAAACTGAAACTGCTTTTGAGATTTTGTGGTATTTTTGTGGTAGAAAAAAATCTTGGCTTCTCCTTGGCAACCATTTACTGTGGCAGCAAGTTTTTGCTGGAGTTTGAGACTGCAATTTACACTTTAAAACTAGTGGCCTGCTACATAACTGCACTTAGCCAGCATTTCTGCAGTTCATAACTGTGAGGAACGTAGTACCACAAATGGCAATGGACATTAGGACCCGGATGTAGTATTCCTGCTTGCTCCGAGATTCTCATTGCCGACTGCGTACAGGTAGGTAACAAGCAATATAATATAACTTGGTGACTTTCTATGTAATCTTATCCTGTGGGTATTCTGACATCACACTTCTGACTGTGGAATTACAGTGCAGCACTCCTCATACCTGTATGTTAAGCTTGCATCAAAGCTGCGTGGTTTTCGGTTTTAAGCTTTGTCTTGTTCAGTCAATAAGCAACTTACTGTGATTCTTAGATAAGTATTTCCAGACCCGATTCCTTTGTACATATTGACTCGGCTTGTGTGGATTTCTCTTAGTTCTGATGTAATGAAGATACTCTTAGATGAGCTCTGTGGGGAAGAGGGAATGTGATCTTAGACTCACTTAACTAGTCAACCAGGTGCTATCCGTGCCTAGAAAAGGACTGTTAAAACTCGTCTGGTGAGACAGAACAGCCCATCTGCAGCGCATCCCTTTGCAGAGTCTTGGCTCAGTAGGAAAGGCGTTAGTAGTCGCTGCTCTAGCCTCGTGTGCGCTACGCGGTAGTCGCTCAACGCTTGTGCTCAGTCAGCTTGGAGACTGCTTTGGAGTATTTTTAAGGACATACAAATGAGTGCTTGAATCCGTATCCCTGTAAGTAGTTTCGTAGAGCTTATTGGACATTTCAGTTGTCTTATTTTAATCCTTGATTGACAAGCATAATGCATTCCTCTGCCTTTAATTGACAGTGATGAGATTCTGTATTTCTGCCTCGTAGTCATCTCGGTAGCGTAATGCTCTGCTTCATTTTTCATCAGTCTTGGGGATGTAATTTGCAACTCTTCGTTAGTAGAAATACTGAATGTAGCGTTTCAGGAATTACCATGCTTGCATTTCCAGACATCCAGACAAGCTGATCTCCAGCTCTTTTGCACTACCTCTTGAACCTGAATTTCAAGGTCCCTCGTTTCAGCACATGATCTAGCTCTTGTCTGATGTTCAATTTATTTCAGAGGTGTCGTAACGTGTTTGCCTGCTTGTTCTTGCAAAGTTCTGCTTTGCATACGTGTTTCTGGTATTGTCAACGTTTGGACCCTTCTGTGTCACCTTCCAGGCAAGACTTGCTGGTGAACAGGGGATCTGCTGGACAGCCTTTCCCCTCTGCTGCAGTTACCTTTTCGCGTTCCACTGAAAGCTTGAAGGAGCAGCTACGCTTTAGGAGCGTAACGACAGGTCTTTGGTTACACCGCAGTGAGTGTGGCCCAACTCTTGGCTAGTCAAGCAGTGACACCGCTTGTCACAAAGTCAGTTTGTCTTTCCTTGATGGCTTACTCTTACCTGTGACTAGAATTCAGTAGCAAAACTGATGGCAGTGTGCGTGCTGTCGCGTAGCAAACCTGAATTATTAATCTTTAAACCAGTGCTCGGATCTGACTGGTTTTTCCGGTGTGCTCGGGATACTTGAGCTGCAGGAATGTCATGGAGGGGTTGTTGGCACACCTGCCTCATTCTGCGTACTTGAACTCGCAGGTTTTTGACGCTCTTGGAGCAAGCGATGAACGATGGGTCTCATACCAGCTCTGACTGCAGTAATGAAACTGGGTGCGGTAGCAAACTGAAACGCAAGTAGCCATGTCTGCTCGGTCAGTCTGTAACAAGTGGGTACAAGAAATGACATTAAAGTGCTTGCATTGTGTTTCATCTTGGTTTTATCTGTGTGTGAAATACACTTTTTCTCAAAAGCTTACCTGAAGCTCAGAAGTGTGGTGTCAGAATACATATGCGTACCTGCTAGGCCCTCAGTCAGACTGGTGCTGTCAGGAGAGAGCGCACCATAGCGTCGATGGGGGCTTTACTGTCACGTTAAGCATATACAGAGTGTTGATTTGCTTGCAGTTCTCCCCTATAGCTAAACACTGAGGCCTGTGAGTAGCTTTAGGGCTCGAGCAGTAATGGGGTTGCATGTTTCTGTTAATCATTGCCAGCTGCAGTGACACGATCAGGAAGGCCAGCGCTTTGTGCCATTATGTTAAATGAGGCTAAGCATGTCGGGAAGGAGGCATTAAAAGTATGCTGTTCTGGGGAACTACGTGGCTTCTTCCACTACTGGCAAGTTTGGAACTAGCTGATTAGCTTCAGACATTTTTTTTTTCCCTCTCTGTACCAGCTAGTGGGGCTCTTTACTGGAAAAGGAGAAAAAGGGAGGATTGGCCTTCTCCCACCTCTGTCATTGCTGCTAGGTAATGATTGACATGTTAGGACTTGGCTGTGCAATCCCGCAGTGGTCTGTGAATACCCCATCTCTATCAGTGTTGCTTCTGAACACCAGTACTGAAGAGCTAACTGGGGGGGTTGGGAGGAGCGTGGCTCTAAGTGAACCTAGGGTGTTCAAAGGATGCACAAAGATATAGTATCCCTTATGCATGGTGTTTGTTGCTATGGCATAGAAAACAAAACGTGCATACTAGACTTCTGCTCCTGAGGGCCATGAGAAAACCCAGGTGGTGGGTTTGAGGCTAAACTTGAACTTCTCCCAGCCTGGTCGGATCCCGTGGCGCCTCCCAGCTAGGGGCGTGCACAGAACCTTGTACGACACCCCCTGCTGCTGCCCGCGCAGTTTGCCCTCAGCTGTAGCAAAAGGCCGGGTCTTCAGAAGGGAAGAATCTGTTGCCGAGGGCAAGAGCAGTAGGCTGACAGTGCTCACCTCTAGTGTCTTCCTCTGGCTTTCGAAGCACTTTTAGGACTATTGAACCAGAGGGCGGCTAGGAGTCAGGGAGATCGCACTCCTTCACCGGGGGAAGAAAGGGCATCGCTACAGGAGGCAAACGAGGGTGAAACAGTCGCAGTAGCTTGACAAAATCAATGCCTTCACATAAGGGATAGTATACCTCTGGCTGCAATCAAACTTGTTTGTACTCAGACTGGTGGGTACGGTTTGTGCTCAGACGAGGTGCAGTTCTACAGTCAACTACCTGCATATCCTTCATCTCTTCACAAGTGTTCAGGCTAGCCTATTTCTGCCCCTTATTCTTCCACTTAAGATGTTGGAATAATTTGTACATCCCCCCTTGTAACTAATCAGTCCATGTATCTTAAAACCTTATTTTTAAGTTAGTTTTGAAATGGTCAGAGTTTTTGGGGTGTTACCATAATAACTTCAGTTGTTATCCTTTAGGTGAAGATGAAAGCTGAGTGAAACCGGAGTGCTCATCCACGGGAAGTAAGCATACCTTCCAGTCTTGTTCCGAACGGGTGATGTAATAAAGGCTTCTGAGCGCTTGGTGTTCGGTCCCCGAGTGCTTGGAGCTGGCGAACACCGAGAAATTGGTACGAGCGCACGTGTGAGAAGTGTGGAACCCGGTGCCTGCTGTGGGGTTAAGCACCTGGGCTCTGGCCGGGCTTGCTGTCTTGAGCAGCCGTGGTTAGCAATACCTTTGTAAACCTGGGTTTGTACAGAGGATTTCAGAGTCACCGTGGGTGTAACTTCTCCATGTTTTCCTAGTTCAGGAGCCGAGCATGAGCACATTCAGCACGATGCCCGGTGATGGGTGGAGGGACCAGGAGAACCAGAGAACAAGTGAGTACCTGATGTCCTTCGGGTGCGGTGAGGGCTCAGTGCGCTGTCACCTGCCGTGTATGACGTAGTTCTGCCTGAAACTTGCCCTCAGCTTTATATAAAAGTTCCTGAATCTTTTGTACAGCCAAGATTTAACCACTGTTGGAGGCTTTCCAGCCCTGCAGCGTCAAATAAACTGTCCTCTGCTCTAGGCAGTCACACGAGCAATAACCATGTCTGTGTTCAGGCTCCAGTGAAAGGGGTGGGTGATTGTCAATAAAGGAAAAATGGGAGCAATGGAGCAGCTGCTTCTTGGATGTTAATCTAACCAAAAGTTGTTTAAAAGCTACTGTTCTGAAATAGTTTAACGAGCGTTGAACTTGGAAAATAACCTGGAAGGTGATTTAGCACATACAAGAGCACAAGCAGTGATTTTAGAGAAACTGACTTGTGGAGCTGGAATTACTGAAATCTTCCCTCTGGTTTACCACTTAATTACAAGGGGGAACTTCAGATAGTTAAAATGTCGTGTGAGGAGCAGCATGCACACGAGTGGTGGGTAAGTAGGGGCTTCGCTGTGCCACGGCTGAACCTGTAGCCCGTGGAGCTGGTGCGATCGGGCGGTGAACTGTTGGATGGGGTGCGATGCGTCACTGCTGCTCTTGGCTTTGGGGTAGTACAGCACAAAGCCCTTTCAGGTCTTGTGAGCGCCGTTCGCATCATCTTGGGCCTGAGATGGGAACTGCTCATGGGGAGAGCGTTTGGCAGGCGTGGGGCCTGTTGGGATACGCGGGCTCCCTTCCTGTGTTGTCACGTGTGACTGCGCAGGGCTTGTTAACCGTGTGCTTTGCACTTGCAGAAGAAGATGAAGGCTGAATGCGCTGAAGAGGAGCCAGGAACGTTCCCTTTTTAGAAATAAAATACTTATTTTTTTACTGGTGACCTTGGTTGTGTTCAGAGCGCGTTCAGTGTGTGGGCAGTCCGTTCGGTGTGATGCTGGGCGTGAGGTTGGGAAACGGCCCACCAGTGAGCCGGTAGCTCAGGCGGTGCTTGGTGCCCGGAGTGAGAAGGGTCCTTGGATCCCGCTCCCTAGCGTGACAAGCACCTCTCCTCTCGCACGGTGGGTTTTCCTGCTGGGGTGTGCCACGGGCTTTCTCTCGTAATCAACACGCTCTGGGCCGGCCGTATTCCTGACAGTGCAGCCATCGGAGCTTTTGCTCAATGACTACCTCCGTGTTTTTTATAACTGGCACCCAGGGCGCTTCAGGTATTCCTGGGGGCTTCACCCCTTTCACCCTCGAGTGCTGTGCACAGCTGGGGTGTTAAATCCTAGCGTTACCCACGTTTGCGGGTGCCTGGCTGGTTGTCAGCAGCTCCCCTGGTGCCACCCGGTACTGAGCCTGAGCTCCCCGGTCGCAGTCCTTGGGAGGCGGAGGGTGTGGGGGCAGCACAAATGACCGTGGGGATGCTGCTTCAGCCGACTGTTGGGACGGCTGTACCGTGCAGCCACGCTGTCACGTGTCACGTACAAGCCGTGTTGAAGTAGTAAGTGGTTTGGTGTTAAAACACACCAGTTCTGTTCGTACAGCTGCGGTGTAACGGGGTTTTGGTAGTCACCCACTGGTTTGGGTGGGCAGGGACCTTCGATCCACCCAGTTGTCCCCCTCAGCCATGGGCAGGGACACCATCCCTTGCCCAGGTTGCTCCAAGCCTCATCCAGCCTGGCCTTGGACATTCCAGGGAAGATGCAGGGATGTTTTCCCCTACACTGGCATGAAGAGTCACGAACATGAGGCTGGGAATCGCCTTGCTGGACAAAATAAATGGGATTTAGTGTGGCAAAGTCAACGCTGGAGATGCGTCCGGGTGTCCAGCGGTGCGGGATGAGTGCCTGGCTGGATCACACCCCTGCTCTCAGCCCCGGCTGGGAACGCGTGCTGCTCCGGCTGGCCCGCCGTGCCCTTCCCTCCCGCAGGTTCACGCTCGGGGCTGTGACGTTGCCCGGAGCTGCTGGAGCTTCCTGACGTGTTACTCAACGCGGAGCCCCGGTGTCCCCCTCTGCCCCATGGCACGGCTGGGTGGGGGCCTGTGGGCTCCCCCAC